TTTCCTTTATGTATGTTGAGACCTACTGCTGCAGAGGCTGCTGCTAAACTGGTCGTCTTCTCTTGCATTTGTTGTTGCGTGTGCGATAGAAGAGCCAGGTCATCTGCGAATTCCAGATCGTCCAGCTGCGTCCTAACTGTCCAGTTGATACCGTGCTTCCCTCCAGATGTCGACGTCTTCATAATCCAGTGGATTGATGACCAGGAGAAAGAGAAAGGGTGAGAGTAAGCAACGTTGTCTGACACCGGTCTTGACCTCGAAAGAGTCTGTCAGCTGAGCTGCGTGCACGATTTTTCAGTTGAATCCATCATAAGAATTCCGTATGATGTTGACTATATTCTCAGGCACCCCGTAGTGTCGAAGAAGCCTCCACAGTGTTTTCCTATCCACGCTATCGAATGCTTTCTCGTAGTCGATGAAGTTGATGTAGAGTGGTGAGTTCCATTCAATTGATTGTTCCACAATGATCCGTAATGTAGCAATTCGGTCAGTACACGATCGATCCTTACGAAATCCGGCCTGTTGATCTCGACGTTGGACGTCTACGGAGTCCTTCATTCTGTTTAACAATACCCGGTTGAAGACTATGCCTGGTATTGAAAGAAGAGTGATGCCTCTGTAGTTCTCACACTTGCTGAGATCGCCTTTCTTTGGTATTTTGATGAGGTATCCTTCTTTCCAATCTGATGGTACTTGTTCCTCATCCCAAATCTTCTTGAAGAGGATGTGAAATATTTTCGCAGTTGTTTCTACATCTGCTTTCATTGCCTCTGCTGGAATGTTGTCTGGTCCTGCTGCTTTGCCGCTCTTGATTTGTTTGATGGCCATACTGATCTCCTCAACTGTAGGTGCGCCAATATTAATTGGGAGGTCCGTGGATGCTGCTTCGATGTTGGGTGTGTTCAGTGGAGCTGGTCGATTCAAGAGTTCCCGAAAGTGCTCTACCCACCTATTTCGCTGTTGTTCAGTGTTGCTGATTACTTTGCCTTCCTTACTTTTCACTGGTCGTTCTGGTTTACGATAGTTTCCGGCCAGCTTCTTTGTTGTTTCGTACAATTGTCTCAAGTTTCCTTCTCTTGCAGCCTTTTCTGCCGTCATTGCTAGATCTTCCACATATTTTCGTTTGTCAGCTCTGATGCTCTTCTTCACTTCCCTGTTTGCTTCTGTGTATGCAGCTTGTGCCTTAACTTCCTCTGCTCTTGTTCGGCTGACATTGATTGCTGCCTTCTTGTTCCTCCTTTCTTCAATTTTTTCAAGAGTATCAACAGAGATCCATTCCTTGTGATGGTGCTTCTTGCGACCAAGGATCTCCTGACATGTTGAAGTGATTGCCTCCTTAATCCCTTTCCAATTGTTCTCCAATGTTGCATCCTCTCCATTGAGTAGATCCTGAAAGGCCTGGAACCTATTTGTGAGGGCTATCCTGAATTCGTTGACCTTTACAGTATCCCGAAGAAAGGCCGTATTAAACTTGTGTGACGTTGTCTGTCCCTTTGTCCAGTGCTTCTTTAGTTTCAGTTTCATTTTGGCGATCAGCGAATGGTGGTCTGAGGCTATATCAGCTAACTCTCCTGGTTCTCACATCCTCCATGGTCCTTCTGAACGTTTTGTTGATACAGATATGATCAATCTGGTTTTGAGTAGTGTGGTCCGGTGAAATCCATGTAGCTTTGTGAATGCGTTTGTGCGGGAATATTGTGCCACCGATGACCAGTTTGTTGAAGGCACATAGGTTTGCAAATCTCTCACCATTTTCGTTTCTTTCTCCCAGTCTATGTCGTCCCATGATGTCTTCATATCCAGTGTTGTCCATTCCAACCTTGGCATTCAGGTCTCCCATAAGAATCGTCAAATGCTTTGGTGAACATTTCTCGACGATTGACTGCAGCCTTTCGTAGAATTGATCTTTAACATCGTCATTGTAGTCATTGGTAGATGCATAACATTGGATGACGTTCATTGTAATGTCCTGTTTCTTTGTTTTGAAGGATGCTTTAATGATCCTCGGTCCATGGGATTCCCATCGTATCAGTGCCTTTTGTGCATGTTTGGACAGCATCATTGCAACTCCTTGTGTATGTGAAGCATTTTCCTCTTCATGACCAGAGTATAGTGGCAGTTTCCCTGAAGCTAGTCTCAGTTGTCCTACTTGTGTCCAATGCGTTTCACTGATGCCGAGCACCTCGAGGTTGTATCTTTTCATTTCTGCCGCAACTTGAAATAGTCTTCCAGTCTCCCACAATGTACGAACGTTCCATGTACCTAAAAACATGGTTGCTCTGTTTGTGAGAAGAGGCATCGGCCTCGTGACTTCCGAGGGAACTCGGCTTTCATCACGAGACGTCATAATTCTTCTTCCAACTCCCAGGGCAGAGTTAAAATGGTTTGAATTATTTTTTCTGGTTAGCGTTTTTTTGGCAAGTTAGATTTCGACGGAATGGGGTCGCCAACCCCATGTCCAACCCTCCTCCTTTATCCGATCTTGGGACCGGCAGTAGCCCCTAAGGTTCTACTGGCGGAGTTCATAAACCTTATTACGACTAAGTATTTGCATCAAAAAATGACGATATATAAAATAAATTTGTATCTAATAATAATAATTCGAATTTAAATATATTGCAGGGATTATCTCACAGTATAAAGAAATCACCCTTTTGAGCTGAGGAGTTATCAATATATCAGGGATTCTGGGTCCTAGTTTTAATGTTTATGGCACTTACTTACATCCGTTACCTCACTTAATTCGCCAGAAAATATGAAAAGTAGTACATAACTTCAAAGACCAAAATAGAGTTGTGTAATGACTGAAAAGTAGAAAAAATGACATGAATGGAAGATGATAACTTTACATAATGAGTATGAGAAAGATGAAAAAGAAATGGAAAAACATACAAGTGTGGTTTTAACGAATAACTAAACATTAAGAATATCTACATGAAGTATCAGTAAACACACTTAACTGTGTATGTAAAACTCAGTATAAGAGTCATGATATGATGGCAGCTGGTTGTGACATTTTTGCACACATAGATCAGGTTTAAAATTAATTGCTGCCGCCTTTGCTGCGAAACCATCTATAAGATATTGTAGCTAGATTTATAATATAAACTAACTTATTCGAAAAACCGTTTAAACGTTTTTACTTATCATACGTGAATCTGAGTATCGTTTCGACTGGAATAAATGATGATGTGATTTAAATGAATAATTGATAATGTTATGGTCATAGTAATAATAATTACCTGAGGTCTATCTCACATACTTCACCTGTTCATCTAAGTAACTTTGAATAAAACTATTATTATCGCAGGAGTCATCAGTCGTCAGAATAAAGTTAATTAAATTTTACTAGGGAACATAAAAATTATGTTTCTTGGAATACATGTAATGAATAATGCCGAGTATGGCTTGGATTTCAAAAGGCATTCTTTATTATTTAAAACTTATTCAAAGTAAAATTCCCCAAACATTTTCGAAACAACTTTTTAAATAGACAATACCCTGGTTGTTCGAAATAAACACACAAGAGAGCATAACTAGGATAATAGCAATGATAATTTGTTACCAAATCCGAAAAATCAAAGTGTTTGCTGAAAGCAGGCTCTTCATCATGTTTCTGATTGATCGTAGGGCGAAGGAACAAGGTAGATCGAACAAAGTTCATACTACTAAGATTGTGATTCCCCTTCGAAATAACCGGCCTCATTATGACGCACCCTTTTGATAGTTGCCCTTATTAGTATGAACCACCAAAAAGATTCAGTTAAAGTCCTCACTTTTAAGAAAGTAATGAAAAATTACAACCATAAGTTTTTATTCTAAGTCACGTCTGATACTGTTTCATGCCACCTGAGTTGCACCATCTCTTGGACCCCGTGCAGTAAAGCGTATCTGACCTACAGATGCCACTGTTATGCGGCTTTATTTTATACCCCGGCATTATTTCATAGCCGATAACATCGTATACCACCTCATCTAGTCTTTTACCCTGTAAGTTGTATCACAAAAATGTCAGTGAAATTCAGCTATATCTTACATATTTAAATTATGAGAGTTCGGTGGGTATAGGTTTTTCATGTTGTAACACCAACTGCTTTCTTAACAATGGAACTCATGCTTGTGCTAGTATGATTACTGTCTATTCCTTCCCCCAGTGGTCTATATTTCGTTACTTAGCACTGATATTACTACTTGAGCATTCAAACCGTGGGTGAAACTAGGATCTTATCGATTACAATTGTTAAAAGTTGAGTGTCTACATTCTCATGGACTTGTTTTGACATAGTCTCTAATCTGATTTCTGCCGTGTGATCTAGCAGTGATAATAGTTCTCGCTTAATAACTTATAGTGCCTCCATATACAGTTGAGTTCGTTCATATTTAATTTGGTTAAGCCTTTCGGTTAACTTATTAAACTGAGTCATTTGTATGTACCATTGGCTTTGATTATTGTCGGGTCTGTGTGAGCAGTATGATTGAACATTGTTTGCCACCTACGTATATATTCATCCTATTCGCTTTAGTATGAGCCTTTTAAATATTTCGATGACTCATCCATTTGCATATGTATAAATATGTACATTTTGATCTTATTCATTCATCTACTAACTCACTCGTTCGCTTGCTTGCCCTTCGGCACTTGCATATTGGTCTTTGCTTCGCGTGGCTGTGGTTCGCTGGTCTATTTGTGGTGCGCCAAATGAACGTATTCCACACTTCATATTCCTCTTTTGATTAATAAATCGTCGGGCACTATTTAGTGACGGTTGTCTGAACGAGCAGCATACGAAGTCTAGGAACATATCGGATACCGGTTGCCACAAGATTAGTCAGGCACCGGCCACCACAAACTGATTGTAATGACTTTTTTAAACTACTGTCGTTGACATCAGACTTGTACTAGATATTATCGGAAACCCTGGAGAATACATGAGAATTAGATTAATTTTTAAACTTCCAGATTATAAATACTAATTGTGCTTTTTTTCTTTACCTTTAAGGCAACAAGAATCTTCTCTCTCACCACTTACTACAGACCTACTTCTATATTTTTTCAAGTGTATTCAATCAAGTATTTATCAAAGTTGCAAATGACTACCGACATAAGTCATGTGAGCGAACAAGTTCCATGTGCAGAAAAGTACTCGGAGTTAGAAGGTGTTTTGAAACCGTGTAGTAAACTTCCACCAACGAATGAAATGAAGCTAGATCGATCTTACTTTAAACGTAAAGTTCCAATGATATTCGTCGGTATTCCATGTGATAAATATGTAAAGAATTCTATAGAGAAATTGAAACCATTTTTCTCGCCTTTCATCCGATTACCCAAAATATCAAAAACTTAGTAAGTTTATTACGCTTAAATCATTATTTTTTAACGCGATTCATTTCTTGTTAACATTAAATTGTTTAATTCTGAGGAACTATCTTGATTAAAATTTCACTATTCTTCAGTTATCTATCGCTAAACTCTTCAAGTGTCTATCACTTAGTGGAGTGAGAGTCGTGCATCCTTGAAATGTTAGGAAATCGTAAAAATTAGTCTCTTGAGGCTCTTTAGCTTTTCATTGTTGTCTCACGAAACCTTTTTGTATACCATACATTAAAACTGTCCATATTCTCACCCTATTTCGAGTTGAGTAACAGATCTCATCGTCCGAAACCTGTACGGCTAAAATGCTCGTACAAAACAAATCTGAGTTTATTCATATAACGTCATCTTGCTAGTTTGATGAATCTAGACAATCTATCATTCGGATATCTAGAGATTCAAAAATGAGAGCTAGTAGTGGTATTCTGTTTTGTCATAGAGTTGAGTTCGAAAGCGAATAAGTAACTTGTGTACTGAACCTTTGTTGATGGTTGTCGGCGCTATTTGAGTTAATAGTATTGTAACACAGAAATATTGGGTCATATCGTTATCTGTTTGTAGTTTACGCATACGTTCCTACTGACTGCATTTAGGATAAATTAAGAAATAAGTCCCGCTGAAATATTTATAGTATGTACTACTATGTCAATCCTACATGGGCTGTTCTTTTATACAGACCAGCTAATTTATTCTTCTCTAGATGTTATTTACACATCTTTTGAGCTTGTCAATAATAACTGACTGTCCCCATTTGAGTGTATGTGCGTATTGCTTACTCTATTCATTACATGTCTTTAGCTTATTTTTTGTCTAGTAATAAAATAGTTTGTCTCGGCATAACATATTGAGTTAGCACACTCCGCTATCTCTTATTTTAATGTCTGTTTGTCTAAACGAGTTCATGCAATAAATATATCTCACTAAATCCGTACTTGGCTTCTTATAGCTCTCGTCGTTCTAACGGGATTAGCCTAAGTGTAATACACGGAATTAAACGCAAGATTTGTTTTCATGACATTTAATCATTCATCTAAAAATTGGAGTCAAATAACGGGCCACTAAATGTGGTGAATCTTTGTGTAATTTATTGTTTTGCTTTATTGTTCATCTATTAAATGTTTATTCTTTCATCTGCACTAACAGGCATCATTGGCTCCTACAAGTGTGTTAGTTCGTTGCATTTCGGTTTTTTAGTAGAATTGTCATAAGTCAATTGTATCTGCTTGCGCGTTTTACTTCATCGATTTTAGCTATCAACGTACAAAAGCATTCTGTCTTGGTAATGCATCGACCTCTGGCTTCAGTATAAAAGTGCTTTTCATCCAGTTCTACTATTGTTGACAATAAATTACCAATCCAAGTTACTTCACCGGCGAAACATTCACTAAGGCACGAATTTACACGTGATTTTGAATTTAAGTAAAATATTGGTTGAAAAGGTGAAACCTACTAAAAATATTCCAACTTACTATTGGTTTTATGGTGAGGTTGTAGTTAATATCCCGACCCTAACTACAACCTTGACGTGGTGGTCGGGCTTGGTTATCGTAATGACCCGACCGAACTATATTGACTATAACATATGTTCCTATAGGTTCTACCATGCTAGGCAGGTCGGTTGGAGAACGGTAAGACTAAAGACAGCTACACAAGGTCTGAGTGCGAAGTGGTACTGCTGATTGGAGAGGGGTGTGATAGCGTAAGATGTTTCCCTCGGACAACCAGCATCTTCAGAGATGCTGCCTTCTAACAAGGAAGGTGGGGGTAAGAAAAGGTCGACCCTAAAATCCCGTACCATCGATGTATGCTGCGTCTCCGAAGCGTGCATACAAGATCCGAGCAGAATCACCAATTCAGCTTCACCGTTTCCAAATAAAGAACCTTCAAGATTTGCGTTCCATGTATCTGGAAGCCGTTCTGCTCCTACCCGTGGCCTCGCTGATGTAGGTATAGCATTGAGTCCTAAGGCAGAGCCAGCTCTCTTAGATAGTCGTTTGTGCGCTGTCCAAATAGACGGGACAGCAAGAATTCGGAAATATAGGGAAACTCGTCGTTGCCTCTTCGTCATGTCTGCCTACGCTCCCACTGACTACAGCTCAGATGAGGTGAAAGATGAGTTTTACAGAAAGTTTTCTAACATGGCATCGGCACCTAAACTAGTGATAGGGAGCGAAGTGGTTGAGCTCGTTAGCCGCTTCACTTATCTTGGGAGTCTGATCAGTGCTGATGGAATGGTGTGTAACGAGATATGAGCACGGATACAAAAGACTTGACTGGCTTTTGCCAATTCGCTTTGCTTTTGACGTAGGTGAGATATCCGTTTGCTATCCAAAGCACGAGTCTAGTGTTCTCAGTTCTCTCCGTCCTACTTTTTGGCTCTAAAGCATAATCACTAAAAGAAGAGAACATTCGTAGGTTACTAATATTCGATGATCTGTATCTTCGATGCATTACTCTCATATTCTTGGACCACCGAGTAAGCAATGCTAGTGTCGATGATGGTGATTCAGCATCGTAGAACTTCGTACGTGTGTACGTACATACATCATTTCAAGTTGCCATACCACATTAGCACAGAGATTCAAATCCCATAATAGTAGCGTTAGTAGCAATGCTAGTGTTAGGAAAAGGGTACTAGGTAAGGATGGCAGATCAGTTGGTAAAGTAATGAATCTCCATCAGTTGAGGTGGTTGGGACATGTGTTACGAATGCCCAACCACCGACTGCCTCGACGAGTAATGTTTTGTGGTGTAGGAGTAGGCTGGAAGAAAGGCATTGGCGGTCAAACCAAAACATGGCAGAAATCCATGAAGTCACTGACAAATGGGCTGAGTCATGTTGGTAGATGTAGGCTTCATGGTTGGGGTCTGCGAGACGAAAGTCACCGATGGTTAGAAATCTGGAACGACATGGCTCAGAGTCGTTTGCAGTGGCGCAAGTGCATTCATTCATTGTGTTCTCTTAAATCCTAGCCTTCTCAATTCCTCATCCTCTCTATCTTTATCTTTCGAAAGTTATTTCACTGTATTATACTTCTCGAATAATATCTTTGAACCTTAATCTTGTCCATTAGCGCTAATACTGCTACATCCTCCTCTACTATGACATTTGAACTGACAATTCCATCTCTGTGATGTTAGTACGGCAACTTGAACTGATGTATGTGTCCTTACCAAGTTCTAAGTTGCATCTGACATATGTAGGTTTAAGGTAGACCAAGCTACCATGTAGTATTATCATAAGAAATCCGTGCTAACATTGTTGTATTCAGTACTGTATCAAATAATAAATGTGGATCAAAGACCAGAGACATTTGATGGTTTAAAATAGATCTCCGTAACGCATGTTAATTTCATGATTGTATACTGCTACACTTTGGGAAATGTAACTGTTCTGTTCCAGTATGTCCTACCTAGGTTTGGGTTCTTCACTGTCATTTAATTTCCTTCCCTGGTTTTTCGAAAATTATCAACTTTAATTATTTTTGAGGAGAAATTTTGACTACGCTTTGTATCTTATTTGAAGTTTCTAATCCTTTGTAATAAATTTTTTCTGGGTATTACGCAAAATCCTGCTACTACTTATTTAGTTTTATTTTATTATAATTTATTTCTTCTGAACTAGTTTTCTCTTAGTCTTATTAATTCGTTTTTTTATCCTTACAAAAACCACTTTTAGCCTAGATTCAAATGGATCATTGCGTAAATTGATGCTGATTCAAATGCCTGAACCGGATAAAATCTTGCGGTTAATATCTGACTTACATCAATGGGATGTTGACTTACCTAAAGATTACTCGAATATTCAGCCAGTTGATTTCTCTGTAACAAACTTGCCTGAATCCTTAAACGACGTGAAAGTTGGCAATTCACTAAACGATGAAGCATTTCAAAAAGTTAGTACTGTAGACGAAGAAAGAAATATTTTAGAAAATATGGTTTCTTCACCATGTTTTGTAAATATATCGATCACTTATGAAAATTTTACATTTGAACAAGTTATCAAAGAATTATTGCCTGATTTCATCTTGCCTATTACTGGATTTACTGTAATTGGTCATGTTTTACAATTTAATCTCAAACCTGAAGCATTACCTTACCGTCATATAATTGGTGAGTGATGCAATATCTCTTTTTTTTTAAATTAGTGATCCTCCTTAAGTTTCAGCGAAATTTCACTTTTTTGGCATCAATCTCACTTCATTTATTTAAGTTAGTTGCGTGCAGACATTATTGAGGCGTGGGTTTACTGTGAAACTTTGCTCTGAACACCTACGTTGTTTGAAGATCGATGGAAATAGTTTCTGTATGTTTCTACGAAGCTATATTGTCAATCTATGACGCTTATAAAGTTTCCAGTATGTTTTTTTAATCTTATTTGATACTCGTAAATATTGTTACGATTGGACACGAAAGTAAGTATGCCCCAAACAAGCAAGGTGATATTATTATGAAAAACACAAAGAAGGAAAAGAAAGTTTGGTCAAAAAATAAGATTAAAATAAATAAGGAAGCGAAAGTAGTGTATACTGATAGATAGATACAGTTCAGTTGAAAACATATTCAAGAAAGACTTCTTTTAGTTGATAGAGGTCTCCTCACTTTTATGCGCAATGTAAATGGAGTAACAGCATATTAGTCACTGGTCCCAGTTGTGGGCGATGTAGGATAATGTCTCAAGCCATTGAGTTACGCTATCTGTAGGACCTCAACCAAGGAGTTTTGGTGCATCAACAGATACTAGTCCAATGTAGCAGCTACCTTTCATACCACAATGCTTTTTGATAAAGTCTGTTCGGTTGAGGCTTGCAGAATCGACCCGTTGGTCGGACCATAGACTCAACTACTTCAATCAGTTTAGCATTTTGCAGCTGGTCATCATAGTAATAGAGTTTCATATTGACTTGTATCTCCTTTCAACAAAGGATTAACAGATTTGGTAGGGAAACTATTTTTCGATCATATCTGGAAAATAATTTTTGAACTATTACATTAACTCTTGTGAACTTTGACAAATTTGGTAATATCAAAACTGAATATTCGTTTATTGATTTCTCTGTAGTGAGTATGTTTAGGTTTGTTATATAATTCATTAAGTTATCAGATCACTTTACATGTCTAAAGTATTTACTCCACTTTGGTTAGTCATATCATTCTTATTTTTTGATTTTTTTTTTTATTCAACAACCCTATGTGTTTTTTTGCTCATTATTTCTGGCTAACCAAACTACAGGTCAAGTTGCACTTGATAAAATACCAAATATTCGTACAGTTATTCATAAAGTTTCTGTTATTGAGTCAGCTTATCGTACTTTTGAAATGGAATTACTTGCTGGTGTTCCTGATTATATCACATCAATGCGTGAAAACAGTACAACATTTCATTTGGATATTAGTAAAGTTTACTGGAATCCACGTTTAGGTGAGGTCATGTTTTCCGTTTATTTTGGAGTTGTGATATTTTAAATTCTGTTTAATACACTGCCTCAGTGCCATGTTATTTTCCGTAAATTACATGTGTGTTATTCGAAGAATTGTGTTTCAGTATGTGTTCGTAGTTTTAATACTACACATTCTTGCTATTCAAGTCTAAATGTTTGGGTTTGAGTCTTTAAAATTCCTAAAGACCAGCTTGGTTATCTAGTTTTTGTGACATCAACATATTAGCTGTATATTTGGGGTCCATATTCAGATTTTATTTACTGTGTACTTCTATGATGGTAGGTTGCTGTAGATTTGGCATTAGGTCATCTTACCTGTCACTTCGGTCTTTGAGTACAGTTTTTTTTGGATACTACTTACATTAGAACTTCCCTAATAACTTTTTTTTCAGTGTCAAACACTCCATGTAATTTGTTTCCTTCAGTTAGTCATGATTAATTCGAAAGATGGTGGCTATCTCAACTAGTTACAGACAAATTATTGCACTTCGAATGATACTGTCTGTTAAATAAGTTGATTGAAGGGCTTAACTAAATTAGATATAAACACTAAAGTGTAGGTGAGGTGACACAGTATGCATTTCGTGCTTTCAGGTGTGTGTAGTGAGTTAGATGAATATTATTTCTTTAGGTTTAGGTTAATTGATTTTCCAACTAGACTTGTTTCACTGCATTATTTAGCTTATATTATTGGTGCAACTGATTGATCGAACACAGACCATATATATTCGGTTTTGAACCGTACTGTTAGTGATTCCATTCGGATGTCCAAACCAAAGTAATTTCAGCAAAAGTTGAATCTGTAATTAGATAGATGGGTTGCTTAAATCACTAGACCACCGCTTTTAGTTATCATTATTTTTTACGACTGAAGTGCATACCATATTTAGTAAATTAGGTTATATTACATATAGTTGAAATGCTATTTTAAATTTGAATACTTTATTTAACTTATGATATCTGTGTTAATCTGGACTTTAATTAAATTCGGTTGATTATAGTAAGATTATTTCGTTATCGGTACTTAAATTTACTCAATGAATTCATGCTAAAGTACTTTTCTGTTACAAGTTTCTTCATTACATTATCTCTTGCTAGTTTTCATATGATTTCCTCTAACCTATTCATATTTTTCTCTTACTAAGTTTTAATACTTTTGTCCATTTGTTCTTGTTGTGCACTAGTATGATGTAACTAGCTGAGTTTTCAACAAATTGCTTTTCTTTCCTTTTAAGGTACTGAACATACACGAATTGTTAACAGTTTACGTCCACCTCTTCCAATGAGTGATCCATTTCTTACACCACGACCTATTCCTGGCGATCGTGTAGTTGTTTATGATGTATTTGCTGGCATTGGACCTTTCTCTATTCCAGCTGGTCGAGCAGGATGTCATGTATTGGCAAATGATCTAAATCCGGATTCATTTATTTGGCTTAAAAAAAATGTTACTGAAAATTCATCACGTAAACATCCTTTAAAAAATATTACCTGTTACAATATGGATGGACGTGAATTTATTCGTGAAGTTAGTTGTGAATGGCATCTTTTTTTGGAAAATAAATTAATGTCTTAGTCTTTACTCAGTAGTCGTTTCATTTTTCCAATATCAGCTACTATGAACCATAAATTAAAACTGATCATTTTCGTAGTAATGATTTTAGATTTCTGTCTACATGGTTGGCTGTTAGTTGACATAGGAGAAGTTGTATTGATTTTAGTGTAATGTTTCGCGAATGTATTTATCTTAAAAATTGTTTTGGTAAATATGTTATACACGAGTTTTATTGAGTTGTATGGAGGATATTATGATATACTCGGTTAATATTATTATTATTGCTTAGTAATTGACTTGTTCGGTGATATCGGAGATGTTTATTTGATGATTATAGTTACTCATATATTTTCTTCTATTCTTTCTTATATTCTTCATCTTCACGGCTTTATAGATATATGATTATTACACATTTAAACAGTTTAGATGTTTCACATGACGGTTCATGTGAATAAATGCAAATCTGTATTTTTATCACAGTATGACGGATGTGTTTGTCAAGTTACTTTAAAACGCTATCATCGTTCTCATCCTTTGGTTAAATATACCTTGTTTTTTTTCTAAGTTCTCAGCATAGTTACATTTACTGATAGTTCCTTGTTGAAGGATGATACTCTACAACTTGTTGGCTAGTTTCTCCTTATAAGCCTATGTCATGATATTCTAACCATTCAAACTAGACTGTTTTGATTCAACATTAAAATTATTATTATTATAACGCCTAATTACTAACATCATTTAACTTAGACTACACTGGAAAACTTATTTTCTAGCCCCTTTATGTGTGAATTTTTGCCAAAATCTACAAAGACAGCTCCTTGAGACAAATATGTTAGATTGTGTGATTTTTCATATCAAATTCTCTAGTTTTACTAACTTTTGTTTTTCTACGATCTAAGGTTTTGTTGGTATAAAGATACTAAATCATTAAGAAACAAGAATTACACTTAGTGTCTGTATTTCAAAAGTATTGATGTTGGTTTTAGGACTCAGAAGTCGGATTAATTTCACGTTATCGAGTTTGATAGGAACCACTACCATTAAGTCTCAATTTTGAGACAAAACAAACATTGAATGTTTTTACATTTTCATTTTCAAATTAGTATTGGTGTTATAATAATGAAAACTTCCTGTCTCTATTTCGTTGACCATATCTCGAAATTTAATGTTTGTCCTTTTTAATTTATCTATTTTTATCGTCTTGTTATCACAATTTATTATTAATTATCAACTAATTATTTCTTTTTCTATGTTAGATTCTTCTTCCACACTATATAAAATACGGGTATTCTGATTCAATCAAACGGAATGATTGTGATCCTGTCTCACTATCAATTGATCGTTTTGTGGTGATTATGAATCTTCCTCAATTGGCTATTGATTTTTTAGATGCATTTGTACCACCAACAAATTGTATCAAATCATCATCCAATGTGATGATTGATAATAACAATAACAATAATCTCAATGATTCATGTGTTACTCGTCCGAAATTTATCAAACCTTTACATGTTTATTGTTATTGTTTTATGAGACGTAATATTGAATCGGAACAAACTATACAGATACGTTTAGCTAAAGCTTTAAATACAAATATTACAGATTTATTTCAATTTGTCAATTCAACAACAAATCCACCAATGAATAACTTGAAAGCTGAACAAACTAATCATGATCAATGTTTCATAAGAAATTGGAATTATCGTTTTGTACGCAATGTTGCTCCATTCAAAGATATGTATTGTACGGAATTTGAATTGTACTTGCCAACATTTTGGTTATTTTATGATTATTCAAGTCCAGCAGCAAAACGTTCACGAATCACTGAGGCTGAAAGTAAATGAATAAAAGACTTGAAATATGATAAATAAATTGTAAAACTGAAATCAATAAATTAATAATTTGTTCGTTTTGATCAATTGTAAATAATATTTCTAAATAGAAATTAATTATTTTCTTAAAAGATGCAAAAACGTTTTAATATAATTAAAATATATATACGTATACAACATTTGTGTTGTTCAATATTTCTGTATTGTTTCATGTATTCCATATATTTGTGAATAGTTATTCTGTTATAAAATTTACAATGATGTGATTTTCTTCATCAGATCTGTGATTTTCTCCAGTCGAATGTGTCCTTCACTCTGTATACAGTTCGATATTAAATCAAATATCACCAATAAGATTTTATGGGAATATAAAGCGAAATATATTGAGTAATAATATATAATGGCTATGTGCGGTTAATATCTTATTTCGGAAACTGTGTTTTTATGTGATCAATATCTTTTGCTTTAATGAGTCGATGAAGTAAGTGAATGATGAAAATAATGTATTGACTCGCAAATTATTGTGTATTTTAGTCTAAAGCTGACTATTTCCACCTTTTAAATAAACCTACTTGAAAGAGTTGCTTGATTCTTCATGTGATTTGTTTCTTAGACCAAAGCAAACAAAATAGAGTCTATCATCCAAATCCGTATGCTAGGCCATCAGATTTATTTGTGTCATTTGCTTTCATGTTGGTGACATAATCAAGTCATAGGCAAATATGTGTAGCCCGACCGTGGCTGCTACCTTGACGTGGTGGTCGGGCTTGCTTATCGAGATGACCCAACCGAGCTATGTTGGCTGGAACATATGTTCCTGCAGGTCCTACCATGCCAGGCAGGTCGATTGGAGAACGATGAGACTAAAAGCAGCTACCCAAGGTCTGAGGGCGAAGTCGTACTGCTCACTGCAGAGGGGTGTGACAGCAGTGAGGTGTTTACCTCGGACAACCAGCATCTGCAGCGATGCTGCCTTCTCACAAGGAAGGAAGGGTTAGAGAAGGTCGGCCCTAAAAATGTCACACCTCCCCCACCTCACGGATTTCCGTCTCCTTGGGTAAGGGTGCCCACTAAGGGCCTTTAAGAACGGAGCTAATCCTCAAAAAACCTTTCATAAAAAGGCCGTGCGTGACCGGCCTCAAGCAGTTGTCCCTTGGGCTCTGCGGTCACGCACCAACACTAATCCATCTTCCTTTTCAGGTCCCTCAAGAAACAACCTTCCACGGTGTGGTCAGCCGGGAAGTGACAACCGCCCTCTTATCCGTAACAGCACGCGAGACCAAATTGGTCAAAATCAAATCAAAAATATGTGTAGATTATTTTGGATGTATGAACGATTTGCGCAATGGATGTCTTATTACTTTTCTATTTTCATAAAGAAGTTCGTTTTTACATGAATTTGATTGAAGATGGAGATAAATTTATGGAGAATCAAATAAAATCCATTCCCCATTGGCTATTACTCTTATTAATTCTAAAAAAATTTGTTCATTAAGACGTACTTCGTATGGTGGTTTTGCTAAATTGTTAATTAAGCCTTTAATCATTAGTATAATGTTAAAATTACTCGAAACTTTCTTTGAATATAAGAAGAATCCTAATTCTTAAAAATGTTTTTCTGGTCATTGTTATTGACCATTCTTCCCACAAAACAATGATTATAATTTAGGTTGCAACTTTAGAAAATGTTCTAGTTAATTTCAAACTACTTACAAGTAGCATAGTTAATTATTATTATTATTTAAAGACATGTAAAGACGAAGGTATGTTTGTTTTTGGCAGTTTCAAGTTTACGGTTCAATCTATTGTAATAGTGGCTGTTGAATACACACAGAATATCTGAAATATATCATGACTCAACGAATACCGAATATATCCGCTTGTTTCTTCAAACACAATCGCTTAGTCTAACCTTGAAAAAATTGAGTCATGGAAATCAATGTGCTTGTCTCTTAACAATCTTGGATATGATTCTCACTTATAGAGGGCTATAATGTCATTGGATACATATTGTCTTATTTCAAGTATGTTCAGAACTCGTAGTTATCTTCTATAAATTCATTTAAATTATTTAACTGTATCATAGCAACGCGAAGCTATTTTGTAATAATGACGTTAATAAAGCCTGTACAAACATCTAACGTCAATATAAATTCTTTGTAATTCTTCAAATATAAAGAACTTTATGTCAGAATTCAATACGGAAATAAAGTTGATTAGCATCAAATAAGTAAAAATTACTCTAAAGTATATTTGATTTAATTGATTATCTATAGAATTACTATAAAAGACTTCAGACTAACTACTGGATTTTCTCAGTCATATTACTCTATTGAGTTATTTGCCTAGGTATCAAAGTTCAAGTATAATGTTTTGTACAAAAATGCAGATAGATAATACTATCTAACTAATCTGATGTCAGTATATTAGTACAGTAGACTTCAATGTAATCATCATAACATTTAAGCTACTTTGATGAATTAAGTCGTACGATCCTGAGACATATTTTATGCCTCACATTTTCAAGTTTTGAAAAATTTAACTCAGGAAAACTGTATATCTATGTTTAGGTACATTTATCTTGTCACTAACAGCGTTTCTTTTTCATTTAGGACTCATTTTTTGAATGTATTGGGATCCTAGTCTAATGCTTTACACGCCGTATTGTTCACTTATATACTAAGTCTCAGATAGCCACTAACTTGTCTAACAGGTATTATATTTTTTTGTAAGAACTCATTATCCCATTGTTGATAAGAGTGCTTCTGGTATAGATAGGAGCATTGTATAAATCCATTTATTTGCATTTAGTTCGAAAGTGATTATAAAACCGCCTGTAGTGCAACTTCGCATGCATAAAGTATCTCTGAAGTGCAAAGTAACAGCTGTATGGTGTTCTATGATCAAAACTCAAAGAATATCAAACACTAGTAATTCTCATTTGAAGCTGGAAATCCCTTATGTCTTTGCAAGTAAAGAAATATCATAAGTCACAGTTTATTATCAAAATAAACACCTAGAAAAGTAACACCTAACTTCTAAACAAATTGGTTGGAGAATTGTTACAGTGTACCTTTATAGTGTATAACAAATAGATACTAATACCACAAAAAGATTCCTAACTATCAATGTACACTGGCTGACATTATAAAAGCTTGAGTAAACACACTATGAAACTAATTTTGGTGCTTTTATTTAAGATAATTTATCCCACTATGTTGAGAAACAGTTTCCACTTGTTGAATATTGTCAATACACTCCACCCGCAACAGACATTGTGTTGTTTTGAACTAGCAAAGTAAAAATAAAATGGCTAGATTTACGACTGGTTGATCACTGGTTAGTGACCATTATCCTATGTATCAGGTCCTTCTTTTTGATGATCGAATTCTATCGATCAGTCCGTCGCTACCTGAATAGCTTAGTGAAAAGATAACAGATGATTAGATTTACTAGGGAGCACCCGCTTCCTCGAGATTACAAGTATGCCTTATTGAGGAGTGCACAATAGCGCAGGTTCAGCATTGCCTGTCAACTACCTCTAACTACCATCTTGAACACCCAAATCTTATAAACCTCACAGCTTCATCGAAGTGCTTCAGACTTTAACTTGATGTTTTGATTCTCAATTAAATGTAATCAAGTAGCTTACTAAAGCCGTCTGTTTTTTCTCTCATTCATTCTGGCTCTAAGTTGCTGCATCAGAATTTATTATCTATACATTGACAAGCTTGTGGAGTCAAAGTTTATTCGCTACCATATGAGAATAAGAACAGAATTCATAGCTTAATCGTTAATTATAATTTAACAATTAATTTAGAATTAATTCAAAGTAAAATAACCAAAAAAAAACAACTTATTTCTAACGACAATATACATGAACTCTAAATGTACACATAACATTTGATTGTTTTGCAATTTTCTCACAGTCTCAATGGCGTCATTTTCTATAATACACAATTAATTGCTTAGTAGTAGTTGCATGTAAATCATATGAAATATTAAAAAAAATAGAAAAAAAAAACTTTACGATAAAGCAAATTTCAGTTGTATAAATGTTTTTTCTTACTGAATTTAAGTTAGATGAGATGAAATGGAATTGAATGAAATAATGTAGATTTTTTTTGCTCCACCATCTTTAACACATGAAATCTGGTCATGCTAATGATATTCGGTTTTATATTTATTTGTATAAGAAAAGTAAGTTAGAGAGTTTAGAGAGATATTAAATAGGAAGGATGATACAGACAATGTCGGTTAAGGCCGCTTATTTTATCAACAGCGAACTAGTGAGAGAGCGAGAAATACAAAAGCAATTAAATCATTAATGTGATAGAAATTCAAGCACCTGATTGTATCAGCAGTAATATTTATAGTTATCGAAAGAATGATACTACTACTAATAATAATAATGATAATAGTGTACGATAAATGTTTTCTTGGGAAAAGAAAACACTTCCAAAGTATAATTATTACAGAATATTATAGTAGATAAAAATATATGTAGACTGTATCTGCTTTGTAATTAATTTCTTTTGTGTTTTAGCGTGGTTAAGAGAAAAAGTATAGATAGAATGCTTTTAGTATAATAATTTTTTCTTGGTATTTTGAGTGTTTCCAGATGTGATGCGAACAAAGATGCATAAATAATCATCAATAGTTTTTTATGTGTGATTGTCTTCTGAATTTTTGTTGTTTTTGATAAAAAGAAATAAGAATTACTACAATAACAGATTTATCTCATTATCATTATTCTTCAGGTAATTTTATTTTTCTTTTTTTGAAGGTATCATTTAAATAAATCCAGACAAAAAACAGCATCAAATTATTAGTTCACTACATAAAAATGCAATAGATGTATACATGTAATTTAGTTATTATTTATAATGAAATAAAAAATTTACTTTGTGCCCAACTAAAACTTTTCTGACATGGTAAATTAAAACTAAGAAATTGTTATACTCGTCTCTAGGTTATGCTTAAAACTATTACGGATTCACCTTAGTCGAATA